TCCCTTTTCCTTTTTTGGAACAGTCTCAAGTGCTGAGGTAACGTCTCAATTTTTAACTGATAAAATGGTTTAGGGCATTTTAGATAAAAATCAAACTTTTGTTCTTCCAATCAGTTCCACTAAGTCCTAATAAGTATATTAGGCACGATGGCCTGTTTTGTTGAGGCATAGTTTTCTCTGTGTAGCCTTGGCGGTCCTGGAACTTGCTCTGTAGACCAGGCTGGTCTCACTCATATAAATCCACCTGCCTCTGCCTCCTGAGTCATTGGATTAAAGGTGTGTGCCATTACTGCCTGGACTGGCACAATGCCTTCTTTATGAGGTAGTCTCTTGTAGAAAATAACCCTTTTAGCATTTCTTGGGAAAGTTCACTGAACTATGCTACATTCTGGATCTTAAAAGTCTCAGTATTTTTTTAAATCCAAACTGACTATATTTGCCTTAAGAACATGAAGGAGAGGAAGAATGGCTACTGTGAAAGAGGGCTAGAAAAGAATCAGGAGAGTTTCTTGTTGAGGCCCATGAAAGAGTACATGACCAGACACGTTGGAAATGCTTGATTACTATTCATCATTACTCAGCTTGGAAGTGGTGGCATAGTTACAGGGAAATGTTCTTAATATGGGCAGAGGCCAGAGAACTTAGGGATGAAATGTCCAACCTGTTACTTAAGATACCAATGACTTGATTTAGCCATTTGAATGTATGGGCACATGATGGGAGATGTCATTCTGTATATGTTTCTCATACTGGTTAATAATAAAGCACTGTTGGCCAATTGGAAAGGAAGATAGGAGGGACTAGGAGACAAGGAGGAAATAGGAAGTAGTGGAGGGGCAAAGATGGAGAGTCTGGAGAGAGCTGTATGCAGCGGCCGGCTCCCGGTAAGAAGACCACATGGAAATACATAGATTAACACAAATGGGTTAATACTTAAGACAGAGCTAGCCGATAAGAAAGTAGTAACTGGCCAACAGGCACATGTGTGGATAGAACATATTAACAAAATATTTGAGTCTATGTAGAATGTACAGGTGTTCATTGTAGTATTCTAGTTATTTTTCTGGAATTTTAAAGACTTAAAAGTTTTAAAATGGGAAAGTATATGAAACCAAGACTTCTGGTTTTTTTTTTTTTAAAGTTTATTCATGGAGGACACACTGCCAAGATTTCAGACTTCAGTTGGAACCCCAATGAGCCTTGGGTCATCTGCTCAGTGTCTGAAGATAACATCATGCAGATATGGCAGATGGTGAGTTGAAGTATTTTTTCATAACTCTTCTAAAACAGTTTCACTGGTGATAGAGTATAATCAAAATTTATGTGACTATTAAAGCTGTAGGATGGGAAACAGTTTAAAGAAACCTTTTCTAAGCCTGCAAAATGGCTCAGCAGATAAAACCTTCACAAACCATATGGCAGTAGGAGAGAACCAACTCCACACACTTGTCTTCTGACCTCCACACATGCATACTGGTATACGCAACAGTAATAATTAAAAAAAAAAAGATTTAAACCGTTTCCTTTTTAACAACCTAGCAAGGTAGCTCAATGCCGTTTTATCCACACATTCACATAAAAACACGCACAACATCTGCTTGACATTTGTCATTGTTTTGTCAGCTGGAGTCTTGGCATTGTTCTGGTCTCTGGTATCAGTGCTGTCACACGAGAAGAATGTGGTAGGAAAATGTTATCAGTTCTTTAATGAGGAACACTAAATATTTGTCATTTCTAAGGTTCTGAGTTAACCATTGCTTCCTTTAAGTGATGCTTAAAATGTTTTCAGAAGATACCATTCCTGAACAGTGACTAAAATAGTGTGGGTGACTAAGTATGTCTAGGGAACTGCATAGTGGCAAGTAATTTAAAGGGTACTGGCCACTGAAACAAATTGACAGTAAATTTTAATCTATATATTCACAGATATAAGTTCTGTTTTTACCTGTGAATTTATTTGGTTATCTCCAGGCTGAAAATATTTACAATGATGAAGAGTCAGATGTCACGACATCGGAACTGGAGGGACAAGGATCTTAAACCCAAAGTACGAGGTGTTTCTATTGAATGTATTGCTACATGAATGCTTGATTTATCAAGCGCCAAAACGGCATTGTATAGTAGGAAATGTAAGTGGGATGGCTTATGGCATTCTTTACCCTCTGATTCTAGCACTTTCAAGTGAGCTGTTGCGTACTGTATCATATTGTAGCTATTAGAGGAAAAAAAAAAAGGAATGTTGCTTAAGAAAGGACATCATTATTGTTTTAAAATACATGTTGCTGGGTATTGCCTTTGATTCAACTGTTTTAAGTCCTCTTTTTCTCAAACTTTTAAGTGCTTGCTTAAGTCCCCAATATGCAAGAATAACTTTTACACTTTTTCCTTCCAACACTTCTTGATTGGCTTTGCAGAAATAAAGTTTTAAAATAAAGTTTGTTTTGTTCTTTTAGAAGCTGGGAAGGGGTGGATGTGTGTGCATGATGCTCCCATACATATCTCCTTTCTCCCTTGGCAGTAGGTTAAATTGTTCCTTTGGATTTGTATGCAATTAAGGCCACACGGGCAACAAAAGAATACACAGAAGCTGTTAAATTCATCATACATATTTACTTAATCTATACAGAATCGAGTAGATAAAATCAGATTCACGTTAGTGAAAAATCTCTACAAAATGTCTTTGAAAAGCAAAACAAGACTGCCTCTTAACAATTCATATCCTCATGAAAGACGTGGGCTGTAAAAATAAAGCAGTGTGTTTAGCACAAACTAGAAGATAATCTGCATCATTTTTCACAGTTATTTCCATCTACAGTCTGAAAGAGGTAGATTTTTCTGCAACACCTGAGAATTGAATTGTGATAACCAGGTGTGTAATAAAGGCAGTTGCATACATAACTAAAAAATACTGGTCTCAAGACCAGGAAATGTACTTCTACAAGTCTGAGGATGAAATGGCCTGATATCCAAGACCCAAGTTGTCGCTACATTTTGGGGTCTACTGCCACTATAAATATACATCAAGATTGCACAGTAGTGCACCAAATGCAGTAAATGAAAATTCAACATTTAAACCTTTTCTTGGCCAGCCTAGTAGCATTACAGTGTTCTAGAATATAGGATGTGCTACAAAGCCACAACACTGGGCTGGTGAGGTGATCACTTTAGGGGAGGGTATCCTTCTCTGAGGTCCCATTTGTTTTTATTCACAGGGTAATGGGAGGAAAGATTCTGAATGCATCCCAGACAGAATCCCTATCCTCCAAACAACTAGCTAAAAATGCATACAAGCCAAAAGCAGCAGGCCAAGACTGTTAATCACATTGCTTTATAAAGCCCTTGGAAATATGCAACAGCTCCAAGATTTACAATCTTCCACACAGGACAAGCACCACAAACAATGTGGCAGGCTACACACATGGCTTAATAAAATGTTAAGAGCTGTGTATCCAGCAGACTTACAAAATGTGATCATTAGTAATAATTTCAAAGTAGATTATATTTCTGATACACTTTCACAAGAAATGACCCAGTATTTCTAGTAGCTGAAGGTGGGAGAATATTTATAAGATGCTATTGGAAGGTACTGTTTTTTTTTTTTTTGTTTCTGACACACTTTGACAGTAATAAGATTACTTACAATCTACTTTATGAATTTCTTTTCCTCCACTGTCTGACCCCTTGATTTAACATGACCAAGAAAGTTTAGAAATATACAATACTCCAGGGATTTTTTGTTTTCTATCTTTTGGTAAATTTTCAACTGTTTGAACCTGGTTTAGAACGTCACAGGAGTGTACAAATAAAACTTTGAGCAAAGAGAAATGGAGTTTATTCAATCCAGTAAGCAATTTAACAAGTGTCAATCTGGAGTTTGCTCAGTAAGTAGAATGTGGTGTTTTACTTGAACCTTTTAAACATTACTTTATAAAGCATTTCCATGCAAATTATACTGAGATAATAAAGACCTAGTAATCTGCATGGCTGAACCACATTCAACACAGAAAACAAAAAGAACATGTTATGTTGCTTAGTTTTGAAATTCCCCAATTTAAAGTGTAGAAATGTTAATAATACTGGTTTGTTTTGTTTTAACTGAGGGCATCAAAGAAAGGAGAAATGGACCAGAAAGCATAGACTATGTGTAAACAATTTGCCAAGTCTTTCCAAGATAAAAATGCTGGTTCCAGTGTTTTTACTTTGGAAATTATGTTCAGTTAGGGCTGATTTGTAATTTTAAATTTTCTTTCAGGAAACAAAATAACTCATCCTTTGATGGAACTTGTAAACCCAGGGCCTCTTGCATGATGGGCAAGTGCTTACCATAGCCCCTGGTAGAAAATCTTAGAGCATATGAACAACCAACTTTAATATAGCAAAAATGTAGGGGGTAATATAAGCTCCATATTAATTTATTCTTGTCCTAAACTCACAAAGTACTGCAAAGAAGAGCAGTTTTCAAAGAGTGGGAAAATAAACTACCACCATCCACTACGGTGATCATCAGGTAGTTGAAATTAATTTCACATGTGGTACATTTCTATCCAAAAACCAGCACAGTGTGACTTTTTAGTCACAGAAACATTAAGTCCATTCATCCAATACTTTGTCTATTTTGTTTACAAATAACTTTTCTATATATGTTCTGCCAGAACTTCAAGGTTATGTGGTCATCTCAATTTGTCAAGTAAATCAAGAGAAGCTAATTTGAATGAAAAATGCTAAGCTTGTTTCTGACTGACCTGCCCCACCCACCCACCCAATTCCCCTTTATTTAAATAGGCTGTTAAGCAAAGGTAATCACCTAGGTATTTTCCTTTGACTAACATTAATAGGCCAAGATGCTTAAATTGAAATTGTTTTCACATCAAGGAACCATCATGAAAGCATAGTTTCTCTAATGGCCCTGTCTTGGCAATATTTTAATTAGGAAAATTAGGTGCAAGTAGCAGGAAGAGAGAGGACATGCACTCCAACAAAGGGGGGAAATGAGGCAGATGTGCAACATAGTTGAAGGAAATTTATAGATTAAAACTATTTCAAACTGCTAAGCAGCCTCCTGTACCACATAAGTCCAGTAGTTCTAAGAAAATACAGATATGGTAGAAAAAGTAAGAAAATTTTCACCACAAAACCAATAGTTACTACTAACAGAGGAAGTTATACACAAAATATATCTCTCAATACAGTGATCACATTTCACCCTAGTCAACTGACTCAATGCCTTGCGCAGAACCTGAAGATGAGGGCTTTTGTGCAGCACTTCTTCTCTCACTCACTGACTTGGCCTTGGCCCTAGCATCCAAGTGCATTCCCAGGGCTCTTCTTGAAGTGTTCATCTCCTTGAACGAATCCCGGGCAGCACAGGGTTGCATCGCAGGTGACACCAAGTCCCCATCTGCTGCTTTGATAGAGACTTGTTCTTTCAGGACTTCCACCTTCTCGTTGAGCTCATTTCTCTCTGTCTGCAGAGCCCTGCACAGCTTCTCTAACCGTTCCAGTTTTATTTGAAAGGCCTTGTACTCTTTATCACGGACAGTTTTCTGTTGTTTTTTTAAAATGAAAAACAAAACCAGTTGACAGTTCTATAACCTCATTAAATACAAATCCGGCACTGTTTGTAAACAAAATAACTGAGCTGAACCACATTTGGAAACTACCTGTTATTATTTACATGTTTGTTAGGTTTCTGAAGAAATTAGTATACCTCCACTGCCTATGCATCTTAAGTATAGGTATAATATTTAATATACTTAATTAAATTACATTTCTTAAAAAATAGATGGAGTCCTCTTAACTTGTTAACTTATAGAAATTGAAGATAGTTGTCAAAGACTTTAAAAACTAAGCTTACTTAGAACAATTTATTTTGTTAAACAGTGGGTTTCTCTCTGTAGATCTGGTTGTCCTGAAACTCGTTCTGTAGACCAAGCTGGCCTTGAAAGAGAACTACCTGCCTCTGCCTCCTGAGTGCTGGGATTAAAGGCAGGTGCCATCACTACTGGCCGAATAAGATTCTTATACACATGTACTCCATTGTGCAGTATTTTCAATTTTGTGAAGATGTGTAGTGACTGAAAGCAGTATACTTTCCCTTCTGACATGCCCAAAAAAGCACTTTTTTTTTTTCAGGTAGAAAGCTATTGGGGGTGTTTGCTGGCAGTCACATTAGCAAGTCCAATGAATAGACTATCCTCGGCCTAGACTCAAGGTATCAGGCATCGCATCTCTCAGTTGGTTTTGTCTCTGTCTAAAGACAAAGTCTCACCATGTAACCTCAAACTCATAGAAATTCTGTCTCTGCCTCCTGAGTGCTGTTTAGATTCTTGCAGTTGCATGACCTAACTCAAACTTTAGAGAGTCAGCACTGCTGGCTGGGTTCTAGCAATCCTGGTATCTTAAAAGGAGGAATTGTTACAATGTTTGAGAAAACACTATCAGAAGATGCTCTCCACCACTATCCAGATACCAGGAAAGGCATCAGTCTATTCAGTAACTATCATACTCTATGCATAAATAACAACACATCCTAATCTCAGGAAACCATCTTACCTCCTCAGCCATCTGCAGAAGTGCTTTATTATTGTTTTCCCATTTGGTGCGCCATATTATTGTTTCCTTCTCCAGTTTTTTAATTTTCTTTGTCATCTGTGAATGGACATAATTAGAAATTTAAAATGCTAAATTAACAGTTAAAATTTCCTTTGTAAATATGTGACTATTTTGACTGCATGTATGTATGTGCAAAGAATATGTGCCTGATGCTCTCAGGAGGTGAGAAGAAGGCATCAATGTCCTGGAACTGGAATTTTGAATGGTTGTGAGCCACCGTTGTAGATGCTAGGAACTGAACTCCATCTAGTCTCTGCAAGAACAAGTAAGCCTAACTTCTGAGCCATCTCTCCAGCCTTTAAATTCCATTTCTTACTACTGGCTGTCCATCACAAAAAAAGCTTTAATATTGCTCCCCTCTCTGTCACTATATTTGCCTCACTGAGCTGTCCTCTTTGCCTTCAAAGACTAAAAATTGATGTGCTACTATAAGGTCCAATCATTTCAGAACTAGAAACAGGATTTAATACTTTGTGAGAAATAAAAGTTTTAGTGATCTTCATACCTCATAGAACTTTTACCTTGGATTTTGATAAGGTAGGCCCAAAAGAATCAAAGGAATACTTTTTTCTTCTGGTGGGGTGGGGGTTCTTACTATGTAACTTGTTATGACCAGGCTGGCCTCAAATTCAGAGATCTGCTTGCCTGTGCCTCTGGATTTTTAGGATTAAAGTCATGTAATATGCCTGTGCAAAATAACATTCTTAAACTTCTACAACAACTAAATTTTTAGAAGTTGAGACTGAGACTTGTCTATGCCTATCAGTTCCATATTCTTAACACTCTCAGTATTTCTTTGTTCACACCAGCTATTATTCAAGTCAGGACACTGAGCTAGGTGCTGTTAGGAGAAACAACAGAGCAGACCATACCTTCTACTGGTGGCTAACAAACTAGGACAAAGGCGATGGAAAGAGCTGATGGAATACTGACCCACAGTGATCTGTATTTTTCCATCCCACAGGGTCTTCCACAGGATAGCAAATTTGGGGAATCCCTGTCTTGAACTGTGTTCCACTTCAACAGTGAGCATGTGCTGGAATTCAGCTAATACTTACTGTGCCTAACAGTTACCCCTCGATCGGATTGTCAACTCAAAGGACTGGTAGGCAGAACAAATCTGCTGCTCATAGAATTCTCCAGCTTACTAGGTCTAAAAATACTTCAAGGTGGTAATCTGAGCACTATTTAGCTCATGGTAATTGAGCACATGTTTAATGAGCCAAGCACTATCTGAAACTGGTGGGTCTTTTTTTATTTCCTTTAAAGGGACAGAAGGCCAGTAAGAAGGTATTTGCCACCAAGCCTGATGGACCTGTTTGATCCCTGGAACCTACATGTGTAAGGAGAGAGTCTACTCACAGAAGTAGTTCTCTGACCTCCACACATGTGCCATTGCACATGTATGTACACATACAAAGTAAATGAGTGGGGGGAACACAAAGTCAGAACAACTTGTTTACAATCACATTTTTTAAGATTTATATCTTTTATGTGTACATGGCTGTGGGTGCCCATGCAGACAAGAAGAGGGCTTTGGATTGCCACGAGCTGGAGTTAAACAGGTATTTATGACTTGACATGGGTTCTGAAACTGGACTGAGCTCTCTGGAGGAGTGGCAGACACGATTAACCATAGAGTTATTTTTAATTGTGTGTATTCATGTTTCTGGGGGAGTATATGCACATGAGCAAAATAGCCACAGACAGCAGAATAGGGCATCAGATTACTTGGAGGAAGAGTCTTCTCCATAAGAGGGACAGACTGGAAAGACAACAGATGGTTGTAAGCCACCCAACATAGATGCCTCTAGAACAGCAACCAGAGCTCTAATGCAATGGAAACACTGACCAAGAGTGCATTCTGGGATGGAGTAATACCACTTTTAAAATTTGTCTACTATAGTCCTGATGTGGTGGGTGTGTACCTGTAGTCCCAGTTAATCTGGCCTTCGAGGCTGAGGATTGGGGCCAGGATAGTTGCTTGAGTCCTAGAGTTCAAGACCAGCCTGGGCATCATAGTGAAACTCCCCAAAACAGTGTGGTGGGGCAAGCTTGTAAAGCATCAGATAATCAATGTCCCTTCAAATTATGCCAATCTTCTCTACTAGACCTTTTTACTCCAGGCAAGCAAAGGAATTTTTTGACAGGATTAGAAAAAAATAAGCTTGTTTGGTGATTGAAAAGGCCTATTTCTAATGAAGTTAGCTTTTAATTCCAGCCCTTGGGAGCCTGAGACAGGTGGATCCCTTGAATTCAAGGCCATCCTGCTCTACAGAGCAAATTCCAGGAGAACAAGGGCTACATAAAGAAACCCTGGCTCAAAAAAACAACAAAAACAAATAGGATTTATCATAACTAGGGAAGAATTATAAAATTATAAACATAACTATTTGGGGGCACAATAAATAAAATTACTATATTATAGCCTCGTATTTATAATGATAGATAAAATACAGTATCATAACAACATAAACTCACTCCAAGCAGCAATAAAGAACTTATACCCTTTTATGTTTCAGTCCACTAAAAAAATATACAAATACCTTTTCCATTTCCTGCCTGAAGGTTGTAAAAAGTTCATTGCTTTTTGCCATAGTAGTCTGGAATTCTTCAAACTTATCCATATAAAGAGAAAGCTACAGAACAAAATAGAAAGTCAGTTATTCTGAGTTCCAGGTAAACAATTCAAACTCATAAACACATGATGATATTTGTTATAAATGATGGAAGAGTAAACACCCAAACTCTGGATAGCAGACAGATGGCTAAAATTCTATTAACCCACAGAGATCTAGTATTTGGGAAGCTTACTGCTGTTAACACATTTATTAAAATGAAGGAACATTATATTATAATCACATTAGTTAAAACTCTTGAGTATGGCAGAAATTTCACATACCTGTAAATGCTTTGAAATACCTACCCCCCCATACATACACATGAAAACTAAAAGACCATTTTTCTGTTAAGTTCTTAGCTCCTGAATGCAGGCAGAAAAGTAGTTGGGGATAGTGAGATAAATTAAGGAAAGAACAAAAACTAAGAAACCATTTTTTTCTTTAACTCCAAGGAATTTGTATTCAAGATGAATTTAAAATACATACATAAAACAGTCACCCCACCCCTTACTTTAGAAAAGGCCTCCAGAGAAGAGAGGACATAGTATAGAGTCAAAAGAAAAGAAAAGCTTTAAGTTCCAGAAGGGAACCTTCAAAGATGGTTAATGTCATTACAAGGAAACAAATTCAGAGGAAAAGTCTTCTCCATAAGAGGGACAGACTGGAAAGACAAGAGTGCTTGCTGTTCTTGCAAAGGACCGTTGGTTCCCAGTGCCTGCATGGAGGTTCACAACTATCCACAATTCCCTCTTCTGACTGCACCAGGCATGTACCTATACCCAGGCAAAGCATTCATGTATATAAGATGTTTTTTGAGGATCTTATAAAGTTAGACCTACTGGTTCTGCAAGTCTTTACTGAACTGTTCCTTCCAGGATGAGGGGACTCAGGCACAGGGCCACAGCCAGGCACCCCACCCACCTCCCCAACACCTCAGTTTGAATTCAGCATGATAGTCAACAGAGGAGGGTAAGCTCAAGCAGTCACTTCTCTAGGGGAGCATAGTTAAGTAGCTTTTCAATCAGGTCCATCTGAGCTAGCAGCATGCGGCAGCAGCAGTAGCACTTCAGACCCACAGCACATAAGATTTTTAATCTTACAAAGTAGAGGGGGGCATTTGGGGATACAGCTAAGCAATAGAATGCTTGCTTAGCATGTTCAAGGCCCAGTTCAGTCCCCAGTAATGAATCAAATGAAGGATGAAAAGAGAGGAATATATACATGTCATTAGACACCAAGAAAAAAAACAAAAACATGTAGTCAGTGATATTACAGACATCTAACAAAATGTGGGTGGTTGAAAGTTCACCAGGCTAGAAGTGATCACTGGGAAACAGGCAACAATCAGTACCTACAGAAAAGTATAGAAAAGAACAGGAACTACAGAAGAAAGCTGAGGATTGAGCAAAAGCTAGTGGAGGAGGTGTTCTGTTCCCACCCTAACAATGCATCTGAGGCTGACAGCCTGAAGTCGAGTAAAGAGCACTTTCAGCACTTGCAATTAGACACTCCAGTAGTTTCAATGAAGCCTGTTTTAACTAAAGATAGGACATCCAAAGGAAGACTATCTCTTGAGAGTTCAGTGTTGGCCCACAGTAGTACATAGATGGCAACTACTTGGACTTATGTGGCAAATCATAAAATAGTGGGCCAAGGCAACTACTATGAAATGCTACAGTAAAAGCAGCAAATAAGATCATCTCTTGGAAAGGATAGTAATGTTTAGATAATAGAAAAAGAAGTGACAGCAAATGAAACAGTAAAATGGCACAGGTCACACAGCTTAACATCTGTAGATATCTGGACTTTATACCTATCACATTGATTCTTCATTTGTACAACTGGATGTATATATATATATATATAGGACTGACAAGTAATGGATTTGAATTTCCTACCAGCCTTTGACATGATCATAACCTATGGTGAAAGTTCCAAAGTTCTACAGACTTCTGATAAATACCTGTTAAAACGTGTACTCTTTAAATTAGGCTAGTTTTGCTAGGTGATGGTGGCACACACCCTTAATCCCAGCACTTGTGAGGCAGAGGCAGGAGGGTCTCTGTGAGTTTGAGGCCAGCCTGGTCTTCAGCCAGAGCTACACAGAGAAACCCTGTCTCAGAAATAAAAGGATGGTTATAATATAACCAATACTGTAAAAATGTCTTACCCTATCCCACAAAAATAGTATTCAAAAGAGGTGCTTATAAATTTCATGCCAGGCTTTAATGAATTAGTGTATTTAGAGTCTTATTTTAAATAGCCTTGCAATAAACTTAAAAGCCAAAAGGGGGTAAGACTACCTATTAAGACAGAAATCTGTCTTGTACCTTCTCCAGTAAAGAGATGGTACACACTACTCATTCCAAACATTGTAACAGAAGACCTACAGAGTCTGGAATGAAAAATGAGGGAGAGCCTTGGGTAAAAGCATTTCACAGAACTATCTACAAGTGGAACTATGGTTATAAGCAGTTTTAAAATAGTTTAGGTGCTAAGTTGAAAGAAAATTACAAAGTATGTGAAATTTTGTAACATTCTTTAAATCTGGAAGTTTATCAGCTCCCCTTAGTGGGAAAGAGAAAACACAAATGTGAGCCATTTTAATGGATAACTAATTCCAGATAGGCTGACATTTGAGAGTGGGAGCCTACTAAGACAGGTCTTTTAATACTAAAACTAGGGACACTCAAATTTGGATGATCATCCTAAATGAAGACTTCTTCCTTAGCCTTGGTCAGCTCTTGCTGGAAACAGCAAAACCACCTTAGAGCAGATTCAATGAACTGATTATCTTGCAAATTCTGCTATTCCCCAACTATCAAGTTACCTGCTGTTTTAGTTGTACTTCTTGCTGTTTCATTTGTTCATATTTGTGTCTGGATTCTGTTGCTTCTTTTAGTAACTAAAAAACAGAAACATTCTTGCAAAAGCACTAATTGTAATTACAAATGTGAATATGACAATTGTTATACCACATCCTTCTACTCACTCTTAGCAAGAATGACAACCCTACAGATGGAATACCTTCTTTCCAACAGTTGCCATTTACATTCGCTTTTTATCATTATACTTAACAATGCTTATGGAAGTAGAAAGACATCTTGTACTGCTTAAATAGGAAAAGGTACTGTGGAGACCTAAAACAATTTTAAAAAAATCTCAGGGTTTAAGGTAATACTTGAAGTAGAAATAATCACATGTCTAACATTAGCAGAAAACAGCTAACTACTTCAAACATGGCTAAGAAAGCTACTCCTTGAGTAGTAAGATAACACTGGGTAAAAAAAGGGTATGGAGAAAAGCAATGAAATTAGAAACCAGGTTTCTGAATATTCAAAACAAAAAACTGGTGGGGGACTGGAGAGGATGCTTCAGTTGATAGTGCTTGCCTTATACTGCACACAATCCTCAGCACTTCATGAATTGGGTGTGGTGGTGTAAGAACTGAGGATCATCTTCTTCAGTCAAGGCTATGAGACCCCAATTCAAGAAACTCACAAAAAAAGTTACACCAATGAAAATAATTTCCTTATTGCCAATTTGTTAAAAAACAAACCCAGGGCAAGGTGTGGTGGTGCATATCAATCCTAGCACTCAGGAGATAGAGGCAAGTGGATCTCTGAACCTAAGTCAGTAGCCAAAAGCCTATCATACCCCATGGGTGACATTAGATGTTTTAGTTAAAATACTGGCAGTACCTTCTCTTTTTTTCTTAAGGAACAGAACTTACAAACTCTCTCTCTCTCTGATGTTTTTCATCAGCTTCTTTTATCAGCTGTGTCGTTTGCTGAAGTTTGGCATCCACAAGCTGTTGTTGCAATTCCTTGTGTTTGAATACTTTATCAATGTGCTATGAAAAAAATAATTCCTTCTATCACTTCATGAAGAGAGGAACATAATGGGGAGGAAATATAAGATGTTACAGCACTGTTTGTCCTGCTTTCCTAATTAATACCACACAGCTAATAACATTAGGTCTCTCTGTCCCTATATCTACAATAGTGTTTGACATCACCTGCAAAAACACTACTGCCCTGTTGGACCTAGGCACCAACACCACAAACTTTGCAATCCTTGTTTCTGCTTTGTACAAAGAAAGTCAAACAAGACGAAATCAAACTAATAAATCCATACATACACGTTTTTTCTGCCCATTTTTTTCTACCCATTAAATTTTGCTAACTTCCTCAGTTAAAGACAGCATGATGAGTCAAAGACAAGCTAAGGCAAACTTATCAACTAGGTAAATTTCTGTCCTGATAAATCTCATTGCCATTATCTGATATGAATATAACCATACCTAGTTTGCTGAGTCGAATCATATAAGGTGCTTGGTATTTCCAAAGTGGCCAAGTATAAAATCTGAAGCCATCAAAACATGCCACTTTGGAATTTCAGAATTAGGATTCTTCCCATTATAGTATGATATGTGTGACAGGGAGAATGCTAGTGGGTGATGAGGTAGCCTAGGTTATTTTTTTCATTTATGAATTTGAACAAACACATGATTCTCTAATATATATTATATATATATATATATATATATATATATATATATATATATATATATATATGAACAAATAGCCCATTTAACAATAAAACTAAAAGAATTATCTTAATAAAATTAGGACCAGGCCTGGTCTGGAGGCATACACCTTTAATCCCTGTAGGAGGATCTTTGTGAATTTGAGGTCAGCTTGATATCTACATAGCAAGCTCCAGGACAGCCAGGATTACAGAGAAAACAAAACAAACAAACAAACAAAAAAGAAAATTAGGGCTTTAATAAAAAAATTTAACCTGTATGACAACAAAACCACAAAACTTTATTTAATAAGCTCTTCGAAACAGGCCAAGGGAATCTGTATTTTGGAGATGAGACATAAACTAGTGAAGTAGACTTTATTTAGATTTAAATTCAGACTTTTTAATAACAGGAGAGTAGAAGTAGTTAAGAGCTCTTGCTGCTCTTCTTGCTGTTGCTCTTGCAATCTGTTTTCCAGTACCTATGATGGACAGCTCACAAATACCTGTAATTCCAGCTCCAGGGAATCCAATACCCTCTTCTGACCTCTTGGGGGTACTCCCACACACATAAATTTTAAAAAGACAAGCAGATGTTAACTTCACTTTTTAGGTGAAAAAGATATGATCAAAAAAGAACTTTCCGAGTTGTATACTAAATATCTATGATTTTAAGAATTTAAGACCTTGCTTGTTCGCTCTTCCAAAGAATCTGGGTTTGAGTCGCAGCAGTCACATGGCAGCTTCCAACCATTTATAACTTCATATGTGCACAGATGTGCAGAGCACCCATACACGTAAAATAATTTTAATGAGTTCAAGCCATAGGAGCTAGGGACATGGCTCAGCAATTATTTGCAAGTGCTTCTCTGAGTTTTGTTACTAGCACTTCCTTGGGCAGCTCACAGTCACCTAAAATTTAAATTCCAAGGGATCCGATCTCTTCTGGCCTCTGTGTGGCCACTGTACTCATATGCACAAACCCACAGATGGACACAAAGACATAATTAAAAATAGACTTGAAAACTCAAACTATTCAAGGCCAGTGAGACAATGAAACAAAACAAAACAAAAAACACCAATAATCTTAGAACTCGGCAAAGATGGTATCTGCCATGAGTGAGTTTCAAGTCATCCTGGGCCACAGAAAAAGACCATATCTAAAACAAAAACCCCACAAGACAGTGGTCTGGGGTATAAGTTAAGTGATAAAACATTTAGCAAACACAAGGTCCCTGGGATTGATTCCAGCAGTAAAAGATAAATAAAATATAGGCTTCTGGGTAGCTAGCTTAGTAGCAGAAAGCCCAAGGCCCTGGATTTGACATTAGCACTACAAAAACTTAACTAAAAATGGATTAGTTTTTTTTTTTTTAATGTAAAGCTGGTCTGGGAGGATCAAACAGGAGGATCTACTTAAGTCCATGAACTGGAAGCCACCCAAGGCAACAAGCAAAACCAACATAAAACAGATTAATGAAATGGCTATAGATATTGTATAAATTATCACAAATTTCTTGAGATGCAGAGCATTCTAGGGCCAAACATTTGTTATTAGTCCAGATAAGAAAATAATCTGAAAATTACCATCTTCTAGTATTACATAGAACTAGACAAGACTACTGTAAATTGTCTTTCCTATTTATACAGATGGATTCTCAATCCGTGGTTTGATCCTTTCCCTAGTCAATAAACTTACCCTATGCTACACATGAACAATTCTAAAATATCCTGCAGCAATACTCGTACTGAGAAGTTATCACTAATAGTGAGAAGCTATGGAAAGCAATCGAATGATATTACCTCTTCCCTCAGTGCATACTGCTCAATGAGCTTCTTCAGCTTTTCTCCTAGTTCAATGTTCTCCTGTCGGAGTTTGGCATTATGTATGTCATGTTGTTCCAACTGTGCTTGGATTTCATTTAGAGTAACCTGGAAATGTGCTGTTGCTTCTTTACGTCGTTCTTCTTCCTCTCGTGCCTGCTGCATATTTTCCTCCTTAATACCCAAAAGAATGTCTGTTAATAATAGACCCATGAACAGAATTCTCAAAGAAGAAGAAGCTGCTGTGGCCAGGCCTGTGATCCCAGTTGCTCAGGGTTGGGAAGAAAATTCCAAATTCAAAGCTGCCTGTGTTTAAGGAGTGAGTTAAAGAACAGTTTGGGCAACTTTGTGAGACCCTGTCTCAAACAAAAACTAGAGGGTAGGGAAAATGGTTCAGCTGGTAAAGTGCTTGCTGCCTAAGCCTAAGGACCTGAGTTCAAATTTCCAGCATCCACATAGAAAGTAAGGCCTGTGCCTGTAATTCCAATTCTGGGGGGATTCCACATGCACATCCACACTACTAACCCCAACACACAAATGGACACACATAAGCGTGCACACCCTCCCCTAAAAAAAAAAGAAGGTTGGAAATGTAGTTTATTAAGAAATTGTTTGCCTAGCATATGGAGAGGAAGAAAGCTGTTGTGACTGCCCTGAAATACTGTTTCTAAAGTACAGTTTGTGCCCCTTATTTAGGATCAGAAAGCCTATTTAAAAGCATGCTTCCATTGGGGCAGTGATGGCATACACCTTTAATCCCAGAACTTGGGAAGCAGAGACAGGTGGATCTTTGAGCTCAAGGCCAGCCTAGTCTACAGAGCAAGTTCCAGGACAGTCAGAGCTGCTACACAGAGAAACTCTGTCTTGAAAAACCAAGCAAACAAACAAACAAAAAAAAAACACAAGCAAACAAGAAAAACATACTTTTTTTTTCTCTTTTGTCATTCAGAGTGTTGAGATACAGAGTCCCAGTTATATCAATTAAGGGTGATACTACTGTCTACTGTAACAAGCTTAATATCCACACAAGGAATCAGCTTAGATCAGTCTGAGCAAACAATCCCTCCTTCAGTTTACTTTCTAGGTCACACCTCTTACTCAAGAGACCAATAGCATCCTTATTTTAAAAAAGCTTACCTTCAAGTATATTTTATTAGTCCATTCAGAATGACTAGTTATAGAAGAAAGATACCTCCTAACATTTTATTTGGGTGTGGTGGAAGTAAGTTAAGTAGGATTGAAACAAGAGCCTTAAAGCACAGTAGGCAATTGCTCTACCCATAGGCTACATGCCAGACCAATTTTTATTTTTCATTTTGAAATAAGATCTCATTAAGTTGCCCAGGCTGGCCCTGAACTTGCAATATTCCTGTCTCAGGCTTCTATGTAGCTGTGATTAAAGGCATGCATTATTAATCAGCCCAGGTATCATCTACTTTAAGATTTTACTATAAAGGTTCAGGGCTGGAGAAATAGCTCAGTGGTTCTAGTTCTTATAGAGGACCTTGGTTTGATTCCCAGCACTCACATGGTGGCTCACAACCATCCATAACTCGCAGTTCAGGGTAATTCCCATTTCTGATGCCTGCTTCTGACCTTTGTAGCCACCAAGCTAGGTACTGGTGCACAGGTATACATGCAGGCAAAAATCTCAACAAATAAGTCTTTTTAAGGAAATAAGTACAAAGGATCAGAAGTAAAGGGACTGAAGATAGGGCACTTAACTGCTCTTCGACAGGCCCAAGTTCAGTCCTCAGCGTCTGTATCAGGTGGCTTACAATGACCTGTAACTCCAGTATATTCAGGTTCTCACTGTGAGCATGTGTGTCCTCCCCCAAATAAAATCATAAAAGGAAGTAAATGTTAACTCCTATCTGGTGAAAAACCCATGTCCTAAGTGCTGTTGTACCTAGGTCCCTGGGATGTCAATGAGAGATGAGGCATTTGTTAGTTTCAGCTCAAAAATCCTATTCTATTGCATACAAGGAAAGGCCAACTACAATGTTAAGAGGTGCATTCTTTTCAGGGCTCTTTTCTTTTCACTCTTCCTCCATGCATACCAATTCATCTTTGGGTATCTGCTCACTTTTCCTGTATAATCTGCCAAGATCTAAGTGCTACTTCCAAAAGAACTCAGCAGCCAAGAGCAGGGTATGGGCCAGGGAACTTGGGCAGTTCAACCTTGACATCCATCTACCTGAGTGCTCAGTTGTGCTCCTTTCTCACAACACTAATTCTACACTTACCAGTTTTTCATTTCATGGTAACGACTTTAGTGCTCTGCAGAAAACTGACAACTCTGAGCTTCCTAGGCAACGGTGTGGGAGTGTGGAGGAGAGATAAATCAGTGGTTAAGAGCACTACTGCTCCTGCAGGGGACAATGTTCAGTTTCCAGCACCCAGCAGATAGTGGCTTATCACTGTCAGTAACTTACTTCAGTTTCAGGAGATCAAACCAGCATGCTCTTCAGGCCTCTTCCAACACTAGGCATACATATGGTACACAGATATACATGCAGGCAAAACACCATACACATCAATAGAAAGTCTTTTTTAAAAAGAGTGGGAATTGCAATGTTTACTTATTCCCTGTGACCAATAAGAAGCGATTCCTTTCCCAGCATTCGGGAGGCAGAGGCAAGCAGATATCTGTGAGTTCGATGCCAGCCTGGTCTACAGAGCTGGTTAGAGCTAGTTCCAGGACAGGCTTCAAAACAATACAGAGAAACTCTGTCTCAAAAAAAAATTTCTGTTTTGAACAGGAAACCCAAATTTAACACACAATCTCACATTATATTGCCTGATAGCATCAGCCCAAGCAAACCAGAAAGAGTCAATAACTGGTCTCTAGACACAGATTTCAGATTTCAAATAGACACAAGGTGACCTCTTGTAAAATCAGTTGAGAACATCACTTCTATAAAACAGAAAAACAATAAATCAACTAACCTTTAAGGTCTTATTGTGGCGTTGAAGTTCCCTGCAAAGAGATTCCAGTTTGCTTCTTGCCAAGATGGCCTTGCTGTGTTCACTCTGCAGGTGAACTTTCTCTTTCACGATCTGGGCTTGCTTCTTCTGCAGAATCTTCATTTGTTTCTGAACATTCCTGCTCTCCTCCAACTAAAATTACCAAGCACTTTATGTTCAAGAAGCATATCAAAAGCCCCCAGTACCTCAGCGAATGCTAGAAGAATCAGTTGTCGGCTACGCAGTTTAATTAATTAATTAATTAATTTTTGGTTTTTTGAGACAGGTTTTCTCTGTACTGCTTTGGAGCCCATCCTGGAACTTGCTCTGTAGACCAGGCACATTGTGGAACTCAAGTGCCAGCACTTCCTCTCATACACAGAAACACACAAATCCACATAAAAGCTGGTGTTTTAGGACTCAATACTGAACTTTATTTTTCTAAAATACCCACATACTACTGAACTAAATTTAGAACTTAACTAACCAGCACTCAGGGTTTCCTGTATGAATGCTATAATTTTAGATTTGAAGTAAATGAGTCCCTTTCAAGGTGACATCCACACTAGCAGATAAGATGGCAGCCTTACCAACCTTTCTAAACAGCTTTTACTGAAGAAATTGATGCTGAGTCATAAAGAACAAGAGTGCCATCTTGTGGCTTATCAAAACACACCAAAAAATCCTTGTAGCAGGAGATGGTGGTTCATCTCTGCAATTCCAGTACTTGGGAGAGTAATGGAGGAAAAAAGATCCTTAGAAACATAATGAGTTCCAGACTACTCTGAGACAAATAAAACTTGTCTGTAAAAGACAAAACCAACCAAACAAATTCCTTCCAAACTATCTGCTTACAGATATTAACACTTTTACAGAAATTCCTACAGGAAGACGCACTGGTATTGTATAAGATGTGAAGTTGCCCTACTATGGACTAGGCATGGCAGTATAATTTCAGAGGCTGAAGAATCAGATTGAACTACTACCAACTACCTCTGCTCCAGGACCATCACAACCCTGTGTTCATTAATCCATTTTTTGCCCCTTTTTTAAATGTTATTTCATTTGTGTAGTCCTAAACAAAAAATTAAAAAGCAAAAGCCTGTTTTGCTTTTCATTGTTGAGGATGGACTAGTATAATTGAGGAGGTGATCTTTTTGCTTTAATAATTTCCATTAATTTACACTAAGCAGCTACATGGTGACTCTGGGATTATATTGCTATAACTCAACAATATTGTTGGCATGTACCTACTGATCAGGGATTGTTAGAGGCATTGTGGGCCACAGACTCAGTCATATTAAAAAATTTTCTGTGCTTCTCTCAAGTCAGTTGGGGATAAAACTGGGACTCCTGTAGGCTTCATTCTGATGACCTGAATCACAAGGCAGGAAGTGGGGACCTTCAGGTTGAAAATTTGGGGAGGCAGGTTGGTATCATAATGCCGCAATCAGATTCTTCTGGAAGTGAAGTAGGTGTTTCAGCTAGTTCCAACAAAGAAGGGCAAGGAACAGAAAAAATAATGGAATGGAGAGCCTAACAGCTAGTTTTGAAAGCCAGAAGGCCATGCTTCATGTCTAGCAGGGATATGTTACTGACAAATGAGTCAATGGAGAAGCACATCCCACACATCAGCTTGTATTCTTCCTCCCTGGAGAACCCCGATTGCTTCTTGCAGTGCCACTCACCATAGTGCAGACATGCTCCATTCTGGTACAGTTTGTGGGTAGTCATCAGAACTGCTGAATGCTAAAGACAAGCTACTTCCCATTTCCAAAGTTTGTCATGTATTCTCTTTTGTTTGTTTTTGTTTTTGAGCAGGGTCTCACTATGTATGCAGTCCATGTTGACCTCAAACTCAGAGATCCACTGTCTGCAGAGTGCAGGGATTAAGAGTGTACCACCACACTAGCCATCATGTATTCTTTAAACAAATTGAAAACCCACTCTTAACTTGTGGACAGTTCAGAAAAAAACAGGCTTTGATTGGATTTAGTACCCAGGCTACATAATATATGTATTTTCCTAGTATATGCATACATGAAATTCTCCAGGGTGCTGACTTCTATATGTTCAATTCACAACAATTCACAAGACATTACTAAACTGTTTCCAGAGTGGCTGGCAAATCTGTATACTCAATAGCACTGTAAAAAAAAAAAAAAAAAAAAAAAAAAAAAGTCATGCAGAGACTAGAGAGATGGGTGGCTCAGTGGTTAAGAGTGCATACTGCTCTTGAAGAAGACCTGAATTCTATTGCCAACACCCATGTAGGGAAGGGCAAAACTGCCTATAATATAATCCCAGCTCCGGGGGGGGGGGGTCTGAAACCATCTTCTGGCTTCAATGTACAAATGTACAAACACACACACACATACATATGTAATTAATAATTTCTTAAGACAAGAGATGATATAAATGATCCTCTTTAAGTCACATGAAGATTATATTTCTTAGTTTTTTCTCATGTAAGAGATATAAAATGGAACGGACATGATGGATCACTCCTTTAGTCCCAGCCAATCAGCAGGCAGCGGCAAATGCAAACAGATCTCTGCTGAATTCCAGGCCAGCCAGGGCTACATAATGAGACTGCTTTGAAAAGAGAAGGAAAGTGTGAAATGGCACCTCATTGTGGTCTTCCTCTCTGACCACTACATGAAGTTAATACCTCTACATGTCTTTATGGCCCATTACGCCAAGTTATTTCTGCATTTTGGTTTTCTACTTTTATGAAATGCCTCTTTCTTATCTGCTGCATTGCTTTCCACTGGTTTTTTGTCCCCTTTTATATTTGTAGGTATTCTTTTTTCATTTTTAATTCTTATTTTACTGTACTAGGGATTAAATACAAGACCTTATACATGTAAGACAAATGCTCTACCACTGAGCTATACATCCCTAGTCCTAGGTGTTCTTTCAGATGTACTTTGTAAAATGTTATGTGCATAGGCATCATGCCTACATGCGTACAAAATTTATGTAGTACCTACAAAGGACAGAAGAGGGCATCAAACTCCCTGAAACTGGAATTACAGCAAGTTGTTAGCTGCCACATAGGTGCTGGGACTCTAACCTCAAGTCTTTTGGACAAGTAGGTAGGGGCTCTTAATCCCTAAGCCATCTCTCAAGCCCCTTCCAGATATTCTTGGTACTTTTATTCTGTTGGAAATGTCCCAGGATTGTAACGTCATCTTTCAAGGTAAATTTGAATCCCCCTTATTTTTTCATGGTACTGCAGATTGAACCTGAGGCTAGCACATGCTAAGCAAGTACACGACCACTGAGCAGTATCTCCAGCTCTTTTGTTTTTGTTGTTTTAAGGCATTGTCTTACTAAGTTGCCCATACAGCCCTTGAACTTGTGATGCTCTTGCTCCAGCCTCTTGAATAGCCAGCATTACAAGCCTACAATAACTAAAGGTCCCAGTCTTTAAGGTATTTATTGAAGGGGCACATTAATTTCAATAAGACCAATTTCTACATTACTTATTTGTTTGTTTATTGTGTGTATGTCTGTGTGCTATAACATGCCTGTGGAGGTTAAAAAATAACTTATAGGAGTCAGTTCTCTCTTACCATGTGAGTCCTGGGGATCTAACTCAGATCATCAGGCTTGTTAGTAAGTACCTTTAGCAACTGACTCGTCTTGCTGGCCCAATGTTTTGGAGACAAAGTCTTATTGTATAGCCCAAACTGGCCTCAAACTCACAGCAATCCTCTGGCCTCAGCCTCTCAAGTGCTGGGATTACAAGTGAGTACCACCATACCCAGACTACTTGTGTAAATTCTTCAAAAATATTTAATTTTGTGTGTATGTATGCATGCCTGTGTTATGTGCGTGCACCACATACATGCAGAAACCTACTGGGGTCAGAAGAGGTATCAGATTTCCTGGAACTGAACTGAAGTTCCAGGCAGTTTTGAGGGACTACATGGGTACTAGGAATCCAACCCAGATCTTCTGCCAGAGCAGTAAACATTCTAAACTTCTGAGCCCAACTTGTATATGTTTGATAATGCTTTTATGTTGTAAGAAACTCATCCCAAAGGTACTAAGTGGAATAAGAGTGCTTTCTGTGTGATTATGACTATGTGTTCATATCCCCAATACCCACATAAAAAGCCAGGCATAGTTATATCCCTGTGTTATTTGGGGGAGGTATGTGTGTCTCCAGAAAATGACTAGTTCCAGCTTCAGTAAAAGACCCTGTCTCAAGAAAATAAGATGGAAAGACCCAATGTCCTTCCACTAACCTTTGCCACATTTGTATCTCACTCAAGAAAGAGAGATAAATTTGTTATCTCAACATCTGAGTTAATGAAGAAGTCTAAGGCAAGCTTATTTCATATATCAAGTTCCAGAAAAACCAAGGCTATATAACAAAAACATAACAACAACAAAACAAAAAGAAATCTTTTCTTTCAAAGTTGAGAAGATATCTAACTTAACATCTAATTTTAAAGAAAGTTTCTTTGAGAGAAGGTCTTATGTATTCCAGCCTGGCATCAAACTCCCTATGACACTGAACTCCTAATCCTTCTGCCTCTTCCTCTCAAGTTCTGGAATTACAGGCATGCACCACACCATGCAGTTTATGCAGTGCTGGGAAAACCCCCAGAGCTTCAGGAGCACTGTGCATGCGAACATGAACACACACACACACACACACACACACACATAAATAGCTATAACACTTAGTTTTAGAAAATCTGTGCCAGCCAGGTATGACAGCACATGCTAATAGTTTCACCTACTCAGAAGACTGGCAGAAGGATCATGTAAGCCCAAAAGCTGAAGATTGATTGGCATACACAATGAAACAAGACCCTCAAATACAAAGGAAAGGAAAAGGTCTATACTTTAGCACTATGGTGTTCTCTACCTGCTAGAAAAGTCAGCTGGGTATGCTAGCACATACCGTTTAATCTGAAAGAGGCAGAGGCAGACTGACCACTATGAGTTATTTAATACCAACCTGATCTATATAGCAAGTTCCAGGCCTGCCAATGCTACATAGCAATTACTTGTCTCTAAAACCCCAAAAAATAAATAAAACAAAATGAATCATGAAACCAACAAAAAGCCTCAAGAAATCAGATTCTCTTCCAGTTTTGCAAAAAATATTTTATATTTTACAATACATCAAAATATATTTCAAAAACTTATCACGCTAGGCAGTGGTGATGCATGCCTGTAATACCAGAATTCAATTCAGGAGGCGGAGGCAGATCTCGCTGAGTTGAGGTCATCCTGGTCTCAGAGCTAGTTCCAGAAAAGGCTCCAAAACAATAGAGAAACCCTGTCTTAAACCCTCCCCCCAAAAAAAGAGCTTATCAAGCATACACAAATATTCTGTAATATTCTTTATAGCCCTGCAGTTGTGATTAAATACTCACAAGATCAGCATATTTCTTACAGAGAGCTGCCAGCTTTTCCTCTGGAGTCGAAAGGGTGTTTAGTGCTTGCATCAGCAATAAAACTTCTTTTCCTAAGGATTAACAAGAGAAGAAAGAAATCCTGAATAATAAGATCAAATCTAAGCCGGACGTTTGTGTCATACGCCTTTAATCCCAGCCCTCAGGAGGCAGAGGCAGGTGGATCTCTGTGAGTTTGAGGCCAGCCTGGTCTATGAGAGCTAGTTCCAGGACAGCCTCCAAAACCACAGAGAAACTCTGTCTCGTAAAACAAAACAAAAAACAAAACAAAACAAAAAGATCACATCTAACTTGTGAATTCTTCTACCAATACTTCCCATGTTCTAATCTCAGAACAAAATAATTTATACCTACAAATAGGAATATGATATTTGCCAGCTCAATTCTGAAAGCTATTTTGAGCTGGGTGTGTTGGCTCAAATCACTAGCTGCAGCATGCAAGAGGATTCTCAAGTTCAAGACCATCCTGGGCCATAGAGTAACATCCTGTATCAGAAAACCAAAACCAAATCAAACAATTTAGTAATGTTGATAAGAAGAAGAACAATTGGTTACCATGTCCTGGATTTGATTCTTATCAAGGTGAGGAGCTACTTTTACATTCTGGATTAATAGACTCTCCCTTCTCTATTCCTCATCCATGCCCATCCCAAATTTCTATACTCACTAAACCTGTTAACTAAGACTTTTCATTGAGAAGGTAAACATTCCATTAGATGTCTATGTTAAGACAAATGACAAATTAAAAACAGCAAAAAAAAATTTGAAAGCTTCAGTCTGATCAAGTATAAATATAGACAAAGTTTCAGTTGGCCATATGCTTTGCCTATCTCAAATGTCCATACCTTTCCTATGTGCAGTGTCAGTAACTTACTTTCTGGTGAGTTACACTGTTACCCCAGTGTTAACAAATGTTACCAAAAGTAAAGGACAGCAAGGTAACCTGCCCTGGGTGGTGGGGGGGTGGGGGTGAGTGGTGGGGGATAGGGGTAGGTGGTGGGTGTTAACAGTATTTTAAGGACTTTGGCAGGGAAAATCCCAGGTAGGGGCAGTGTTTCAAAATAGGTGATGTTTTTAAAATGATATCTTGGTAGCCCTGGCTGTCCTTGAACTCACTATGTAGATCAGACTGGCCTCAAACTCACCTGCCTCTGCCTCCCGAGTGCTGAGATTAAAGGTATAGGTCACTATGTCTGGCTTGAAATAGACACTGTTTTTGATTTTTCTTTTTGTTTGCTTTTCAAGACAGGGTTTCTCTGTGTAACAGCCCTGGCTGTCCTGGCACTCACTCTGTAGACCAGGCTGGCCTTGAACTCAAGGGATCTGCTTGACTCTGCCTCCTGAGTGGTGGGATAAGTAAGACATGTGACACCACTAACTGGTGCCTCTTCTATTTTTTTTTTTTTTTTGGTGGGTTTCTTTTTAAGATAATGTTTCTCTGTATAGCCCAAACTTTCCTGGAATTCAATCTATAGACCAGGCTGACCTTAAACTCAGAGATCCTGAGTGCTGGGATTTCTTAAATTGGATGACAAATACCATTTTCTTTTTTTGAGATTTATTTTTACTTTGTGTGTGTAAATGTTTTGCCTGCATATATGTGGACCAAATACATGCCTAGTGCCCACTAAGGCCAGAAGAGGGTGTCTAACCCCCTAGAACTGGAGTTACAGATGGTTATAAGCCATCAGGTGGGTGCTGGGAACCAAACCTGGTCCTCTATAATAGCAGCAAACCATTTCTCCAGCCTCAAGACATTGTCTTTATTTCTTTCAGGGTTTCTCTGTGTAACAAACAGCCCTGGCTGACCTGGAACTCACTCTGTAGACCAGGCTGGCCTCGAACTCAAAAGATCTCTCCTGTCTCTGCCCCCTGAATGCTGGGATTCACCACCGCCAGGAACCATTTTGATTTTTAAAAAACGTTCACTCTTACACACAAGCTTTCTTGTCAACATAGGTACTTTAATAACCCCAGTATATAGATTGCTATGGAAAGAAAAGAGCAGAATGATATCAAAATTGAATACTTTTTAATGTGAGTACAGTGATGGCTTGAGCCTATGAAAGAGCCCTATAGCCCAAGAGTTCAGGCCAATAGAGTAAGACACCTTCTACCTCCCAAAAAAGGGAGGAAACTTTTCTCTATTATTTAGGGGGGCCTTTGGAGACATGGTTTCTCTGTAGCTTTGGAGCCTGTTCTAGAAGGAAACTTTTCTATCTACATAAAATTGTATTATTAAAACCCAAGGCCCATTTAGCCCAAGATCAATAAGAACGTTATGAAAAGGCCAGGCAGTGGTAACACATGACTTTAATCCCAGCACTCTAGAGGCAGGAGGACCTTTGAGTTTGAGGCCAGCCTGGTCTACATAGTGACTTCCAGGACAACAGAACTGTTACACAGAGAAATCCTGTCTCAAAAAAAAAAAAAAAAAAAAAAAAAAAGAGGAGACTGGAGAGATGGCTCAGAGATTAAGAGTACTGGCTGCTCTTCTATAGGTCTTGAGTTCAATTCCCAGCAATCATATTGTGGCTCACAACCATCTAATGGGATCTGATGCCCTCTTCTGGCATAAAGGCATACATGAAGATAAGAGCACTCATACACATTAAATAAATAAAATCTTAAAAAAGAAACAAACCAAAATAAAAAAAGCAAGAACATTATGAGAATTCGTAAATTCAAAGGGTTTTTTATATTTTGTTTTGCAGTGCTAGGACTTTTTGTGTCTGTGAAACAGAATTTGCATACTATAATTTGGTTTTCTTTATTTTAATGGATTTTTGACAGGATTTCTCTGTATAGCCTTGACTGTCCTGGAACTCTGTGGACTACTCTGGCCTTGAACTCAGAGATCCACCTGCTTCTCTGCCTTGAGAGTGCTAGGATTAAAGGCGTGTACCACCACCACTGGCCAGTTTTCATTTATTTTTAATTATTTTTTAGAGATGTTACCCAGGTTGACCTTGAACTCCTAGGCTCAAACAATCCTGCCTTAGCCTCCAGAATAGCTGAGAGGTTGGTATGTACCATTCACCTATGTAAAATTCACTTTTAAAACACACCATTTATTTCTAAATGTAACAAAAAGAAAAAGAACACAATTTAGTATATTTACAAGGTTGTACAAACATCACAGCTACCTATCTAATCGGAGAATGTTTTCATTAACCCCCAAAACAAACCATACACAATAGTAGTCACTCTTTGCTCTTCTATCTACCCCCAGTCCTGGCAACCACAAATCTATTTTCTATTTCCACAAATTTACAATTCTGGATTATTTCGTACAAAAGAGAATAATAAAATGAATACCCTTTCATGTCTGGCTTATTTTACATTGCAAAATGTTCTGCTGTGTGCTTCTGTCCTTTCTATAGCTAAGTAATATTCTAGTATATGGATAGATCATACTTTGTTTACTCATCATTATATGATAGATATTGATTTTTTTTCTCCCTTTGAGCTAATAAGAATAAAGTTGCTATGACCACTATCTACAAACTTCTGTGTAAATAATTTTCAATCTTCGTGGAGATCTATACGCCTAGAAATAGAAGTGCTTGTTCATATCATAAATTACATTACTTTTGACTTTTTATAAATGTAATTAGGGCTACTGATCTAGGAGATGTATCCTTTCTCAGGAATTAAAATTACTTTTCATATTCCTTAACTCTTTTTACATTTAAAGAGTAGCAGGAGACCTTATCTCAAAAAAAAAAAAAAAAAAGGAAAAAGAAAATCCATCCCCAAAATAAAGAAATAAAGGTAACTCTGCAACTCTAGAATGAATTGATTGATATATATATATATAAATAAAACAGTGTCAAACACCTTTAACCCTAGGTGAGTTCAAGACCAGTGTAGTCTACATAATGAATTTCAGGTCAGGGCTACATAGTGAGACCTTACCTCAAAAATAAGAAAACCCACCACTTATTAATCACAGATGTAAAGTACATAAAACTGAGGGGTTTCCACCTGCAGTGGTAAACTTTTTAATTGTAGCACTTGGCACTTGGGAGGCAGAGGCCATCTTTTAAGTTTAAGGACAACCTGGCCTACATAGCAAGTTCCAGGCCAGCCAGGGCAAGATAGTGAGACCCTGTCTCAAAAATAAAATATAAAACAAAACAAACAATAACAAAAAAACCAAGTAAACAAACAAAAAACTGAGGGGAGTTTTCAGTTTTCTTCATGAGGTCTAGCATATCAAAAAATGGTGATTTAACGTAGTGGTAGAGTCCTCACCTAGCATGCATGAGGCCACAAGTTTAATCCTTGGCATAATGGAGAATGACACAACACACGATTTAATGGTTTGGCCAGGTGTTCATACCTTCATGTACTTTTGAGCTAAGTCAAGATGATCAGGAGTTAAAGACCAACATCAGTTACATAAGAAGTTTGAAGTTAGCTAGGCAGTGGTGGTGTGTTCCTTTAATTTCAGCACTATGGAGGCCAAGGCAGGTGGATCTCAGAGTTCGAGGCCATCCTGGTCTACAGAGTTCCAGATGACCAGGACTACACAGAGAACCCTGTCTTGAGAGAAAAAAGAAAAGAAAAGAGGAAGAACTTTGAAGTCAGCCTGAACTATATGAAACCTTGTCTCAAAAAAAAAAAATGTAAACATATCACATTCTTGATCTGAAACAAGATATATATATATATATATATATATATATATATATATATATATATATATATATATGAAAGCTGGTTAACTCACTTCTGAAGTACAGTTAACATACTGTCTATAAAATTTTATGTCTAGTCTTTTTTTATTGGTTTTTTTTTGTTGTTGTTGTTTTGTTTTGTTTTTGTTTTTTTTTTTTGTTTGTTTGTTTTTTGAGACAGGGTTTTTCTGTGGCTTTGGAGCCTGTCTTGGAACTATCTCTTGTAGACCCAGCTGGTCTCAAACTCACAGAGATCTGCCTGCCTCTGCCTCCTGAGTGTTGTTTTTAAAGGCATGCACCACCACTGCCCCACACTTATGTCCAGACTTAAACTGACAAAATAAATACTGTTCTCACATACTTTTTGATCAGCCTAGTAAAGATGCAAATAAGGCAAGTCATTTGCCATTCTGTTTGAGAATTCTTGATTATATAGAGAGAAATAACTGTTTCCTATTCTGTCCACTTCCTACCCATAACTACAGTAGACAAGCTAACCTGAGGCAATATGTGTTTATTTTAAACTGATATAATGTGTGTGTGTGCCATAGTCATATGTGGAGGTAAGAAGACAATGTGTAGTAGTAGTGCTCTTCTTTGACAATATGGGTCCTACGAATCAGACTTAGGTCCTCAGGCTTAGTGGCAAGTACCTTTACCCACTGAGCCTATTCACTGGGCCACAAACAGGTATTTTTTCCCTTCAGAGACAGGGTTTCTCTGTGAAACATTCCTGACTGTCCTGGAACTCACTTAGTAGACCAGGCTGGCCTTGAACTCACAGAGATCTGACTGCCTCTGCTGGGATTAAAGACATGCACTACCACTGCCCAGCAACCATGTCTAACCTGGCCATGTTCATGTCTAACCTGGCCATGTTCATGACCTCCTGTGTCTCACACAATGTGAATAAAGTGAGCAATATATGAAAACAACATTTAACTACTGTATAAAACTTATTACCTAAGGTCTTCTCTTTGTTCCTGCTGCACTCTGAATCCTGCTGGCCATCAGGAGGACCTGATCGAGCTTCTTGTCCAGGAATTTCTTCTCTTGATTCCTGTGCACAGAATGCTGAACTCACCAAATTCCTGTTCTTTGTTATAAAGTCACTGCTTTCATCCCCTTCCAGTGAATGCTTCTTAGTTGTGCCACCACAACTGGGGTCTTGATGTTGAAGAATATCATTTGCTTGAGAGTTACACAACACATCTGCTTTCACTCCTAACCCACAAATTCCAGCTTCTTCCATTGTCCCAATTTCAAACTAGAGGGAAGGGGAGAAAAGACAGAGTTAAATGGAATTAACATTTATAACCAATGGCATTTGATAGCTTGGCAGTTTTTTTTTACTTAGTGGTTGGTGAATTCAATGTAAAAAAAGGTAGCTTTTAAGCTTTACTGAGACATAATGTAAACTGTTAAATATAAGGTTATTAAAGTTAAAACAGAACTAGGGTGTAGCTCTGAGGTAGCAGTGCTTTGTTTGCTTCATGAGCCCCTAGGTCTGATCAGGAGCACTTCCAAAAGATAAAGCTAAAACAAAGCATAACTATATGCTATCAAAGGAGGCAAATTTGCCAGTTAGTAATAAATTTAAACTTACTTCCCTATAAAAATTCACCATTAAAAATAATTACTATCTTTTAAACAGGAAACTGTCCCAAGTTGATCAACATTAACTATCCTGCTGTTATCTTAAAGATGATTAGCACAGCTAGCTAGCTACAAAGCTATCCAGCAAAAACTAACTCCCAAAGTACCCAGCAGAACAGGCACTGAGGGACAAGTGCCTGCACCCAGTACTGGCACACTATATTTCCTAGCCCCTTGACAGCTAAGTGAGACTCCCATGTTAGTCGAGGCTTTGAATATCACTTCAGCAACCAGATTTTTATTCTCAGAAAGTAGTTGAGGCTATGACTGTCATTTCAGCAACCAGATTTTTATCCTCAGAAGGATATGTTCTTTCCAACTCTGGTAGGATAAAGAGGTCAGAAAGGTACATAAAGATGGCAGGGCCAGACAACAAAAGCAGCCTGGCCCAAATTCCATATACATATACAAGAAAGACACTCTACCTGCAAAGAAAACACTAACTACAATATTGGGTAAGTAATAAACTTCTCTCATGTTATACCACAGAAATTGAGATTGGTATGTTAAATGGCTCTCATTCATTAATACAGTAGGCATGCATATAAAAACAAACAACATTTATGCTTGTTTTCTTCTCCCTTGAATCATTTTTTTAACCTTATTCTCTTTTGTTATATTTTTGTTCAACATAGCATCTTGCTAATGCATAACTCAGGTTGGGATAGAATTTGATATCGTTCTGCCTGGGCCTCCTGAATTCTGAGACTACAGGTGAATACCACCACACCTGGCTAACCCTATTTACTTGTCTTCTCTGTATTCTATTTGTTAATATTATTTGGTCACCTACTATATCACAACTGTAAACTCTACATTTCCTTTCTGGTTAAAAAGAGTGTTTCATCCTTTCTGAATACAATTGAGGTACAAAGTATCTAATACCATTCTCTTACCACAAAAAGAGAAAAGATACATTGAAAAATTAATGGGATTAGGGCTATAGCTCAGTGGAAGGATGAATGATTGCCTAATAAGTGCAAGGCCCTGGGTTCAAGCACCAACACCAAAAAGAAAACAACAACAACAACAACAAAAAAATCAATGATACTTTTTTTTTCAGATTACAGCTGCTCAGCCTGGTGGTTCCCACATATAATCCTAGCACTTAAAATGTTACAGCAGATTTGGAAGGAATTGAGGGAAGGAAAAAAACATGGTCAAAATATAGTGTATACAAAATTTTGTTTTCAATTTTAAAAAAGCTAAAATAAATAAAAGGTTAAAGCAGGAAGATTGAAGCATATTCAAGACCAGCCTGAACTGTATAGTGAGTTCTAGACTAGGCCAAGCTACAAAGTAAAACCCTTGCCTAAAACAAAACAAAATTAATGGGAGCCAGACACTTAGAAAACTCAGGTAGAATTTTGAGCCTGAGCAAAAATAATAAAAACAATTAATGATAGAGCATGAATCTGGTTTTAAAAAGACTTTTGATACACGTGCGCATGTGAGTGGTGCACAAGCATGCCACAATAATATGTCAAGGTATCAGAGGAAACTTGTAGGAGTTGGTTCTCTCCTTCCACCTTGTGGATTCTAGGGATTGAACTTTGGTTTTCAGGCTTGGTGGCAACTGCCTTAACCCACTGAGACACCTGTTATTTCTGATTGTAACATACCAGGGCTGGAGAGATGGCTCAGTGGTTAAAAGTATATATTTTCTTCTAATGGACCTGAGTTTGGTTCCCAGCAGCTCACACCTGCCTATAATAACTCTAGCTTCAGAGGGATCCATCATCTAAAGTCTATAGAAGCAGTGTCCTCATATGTTCATACCTACACACATCTACACACATAATTTCAATTGAAGAGCTAAAATTAATTGAAGGCTCCAGGAAGGCATCACTCTCCCTGTGGAGTGGGGGGAGAGTGGTCGGGGGGGGGGGGCATGGGAGGGAGAGGAAACTGGGATTGATATGTAAAATATGAAAAAAATAATAAAAATAATTGAAGGGAATGAAGATATTAAGGCAACTAATACTTATCTTTTATAATCTAGGGTTGATATAAGTCAATAACTGTGCTTTTGGGGGTAGCACTAGTCCAAACTAACCTAGAATTGACTATCTCCAAAAAAAAAAATGACTTTGAACTCCTGGTCTTCCAGATACCACGTCCCAAGTGCTAGGATTTTAGGCCAGTGACACTGTGCTTTCTGGAGAACAAATTGGCAATGCAATTCTTGGGCAATATGGATAGCTTCTAACCCACTTATTTCCACTCCTAGAATTTCACCCAAGTGTGTACATAAGTGCACTGAAAGGCCAAAAATGTTTAAACCAGCACTACTTGGAACAGCCCTAAAACAAAATAAATTCAACAGAAGAATTGATCAATTGCAATATGTTCAAACCATTGAGCAATGAGAATGAATTACTAAAAATACAGCAGCATGACTTTCACGGACCTTACATCAAGAGGAAGGCATCACAGACACTTTAACCAAAGGAAACAATTTATATATAAAAAGAAGCTAGGTGAATGGATGGTAGTAGAAATGAGGTACTGGTTGGGCTTTCTAGAGTGGTTGATAATATTTCTTGATATAGAAGGGATAAGACAGATGTTATCCTCCTAGAAATTCATTAAATCCAAACATTCATAATTTGTATACTTTTCTGAACAGACAAATGTTACTTCAAAGTTTGTTAGAAGTTGTACAAGGATACTGGGTGTGGTGGTACTCCTTTAATCCCAGCACTTTGGAGACAGCAGCTTTAAGTTCAAGACAAGCCTAGTTTACATGAGTTACATGGTAAAACCTGGCCTCAATAAATAAGTAAACAATGAAAAAAATTAAAAAAATATCTAGTGTCTTGTATACTAATTTTAAAACTATATATACACATATACATACACACACACACATATATATATATACGCAAACATATACATATATGTGTGTGTGTGTGTGTGTGTGTGTGTGTGCATGCTTCAATTTAGGGACTAAAGACCAAGACTAAGGGTTCAATCTCTTGTACAGAAAACATACACAAGTTATAATTTATATACTATACTTATTTGTTTTGTTTTTATTGAGTCAGAGTCTCAATATGTAGCCCAGCTATCCCAGAACTCACTGTGTATACCAGGCTAACCTTGAACTCATAGAGATCTGCCTGCTTTTGTGAAGTGAGTGCTAGGATTAAAGGTGTGTTACCATGCTTAGCTTACTTAAAGAGTTAAGGAACAAAACAAATATTTTTCACGAAAGTGATAAAAATCAGTTCCTATGAAAAGCAGCTACAATACTGAAGGAAGCAGGAACATGTGAGAAGCAACTGGTAGGTACTGACTGAGATATAGCACTAGATCCTTGTTCTGTGGCAGCAAGGCAATGATGCAGGACAGACAAGCGCCTCCAGAGGAAGTAAAGGGAGAAATGTTGACTGTAAATAGGTGGGATGAGTTAGCTTCCTTGAGCCACAGGACATGCCTGGTTGAAGAGAAAGACTTGCACAGTGCCCAGGAGCAGAAGCTCTGAGAAAGCTGCAGAGACTGAGAGAAGTTTCAAGGTATTAAAAACCATGTCCTAGCTGGGCGGTGATGGCACATGCCTTTAATTCTGGTCCTGGAGAGGCAGAGGCAGGTGGATCTCTAAGTTTGAGGCCAGCCTAATCTAAAAAGGTACACAGAGAAACCCTGTCTCAAAACAAAAACATGTCCTAAATAATAAAAATGGAGTTTCAGGAAAGAAGCTCAAATAAGTAAGCCCACTGCTGGAGATGGAAATGTTTAGTGTGGAAGGGTAACTTGTATGTTGATGACTATGGAGGGAGATGTGGGATGAACTGAACAATGGAGTGAGCTGAGCTGGCCAAGTCCCACTGACAAGTGGGATGAGCATATCAGACTGTCAGAACCTGAAGCATCTGAAATGAGGAAAAGTACTCTCAAAAGAAGACAAATATGGGGCTAGAGACATGGCTCAGTGATTAAAAGTACTTGCTGAAGACCCAGGTTTGGTTCCCAGCACCTACATGGCAGCTCACAGCCAGCTGGAACCCTAGTTTCCAGAGTAGCTGACAACTTCTGTTCTCCACAGGCACTAAGCATGTACATAGTGCACAAATGTACATGCAGGAAAATATTCATATACATAAAAATATTTTTTAAAAAAGAAAACAAACATGACAATGAAATAAAGATTCTTATGGTAAACTAAGGAGGAGGACATCCATGCTAAGTTTTCTGTGAGATTGGCAGGCAAACTACAAAAGATAACTGAAGACTTGGAAAATAAACTGAAATGCACCAAAAAAGGAGCACATCTGTGCATGTATGCGTACCATGTACATGTCTGGTGCTCGGGGAGGTCAGAAGAGGACATCATATCTTTTGGAACTGGAGTTCCAGATGGTTGTGAACCACCATGTTGGGAAACAAACCTGGGTATATCATTCTAGAGTAACAAGTTCTCTTAATGCTGGTCTACTCTAACCTGAATGAGATGCCTTGCCCTCCCATTACTGTACTCCTACCTCTGACCCTGACTTTGCCCTCCAGAAGCTGACCTTGAGTCAGAGGCTTGCTCTGAGAAGCCCCTTTCTTTTTGCCAATTCCTTTATCTCCTCCCAGAGATTCCAACTGAGTAGAGACTGAGTACCT